GTTAAATTGGCAGCTCTTTCTAGTTACAGAAAAAGGGTGTTCTTACAGTTTACCAGTATTTACCATGTCTTTGTACATATATCCAGGGGTGCACACAACTTTCTCAGTGAGGTACTCAGATGAGTACCTGGAGTCAGTGTTTGGTACTCCAACTTCCGGNTTGGCTGCTCCTGGTCTCTTGGACGCCTAGCAGGCTCATAATTATAATCATATGCATTCGAATATATATTTTCAACCTCTTCTGTGTCAAAACTAGCATTGTGATCCATGTTTATTCATACATTAGACCGGCCGCTCTCCCCCTTGTTTCCCCCATGTTACGTCACACGCGGGAGGTCACGTGCGGAGGCTTTTTTATGCGGAAGTGAAAATGTCTTACTAAAACGACGCCAGATGTCACTGTAGTGTATATTTCTGTATATTTTTTGGAAAATCTAGTGTATTCATAATTTTCCTACATATTTATTCACTGGTGTCTCTAACCTGCAAGTTGCTCTTTAAACCATATGTACTGCAGCCTTCAAGGTGATTTACCGTGTTTTGGGCTTCACAACAGGATCTTGTTCCTTTAAAAAAAAGAAAGAAGGAAATATAGGATGTTGATACCAGTCAAATTAAAGCAGCATTTACATAGACGTATCAAATTGTTTAACATCTTGCTTGGTAAATAGAAAGTTAACTTACTGATAGAAATGACCCAAGACGTACATTTTGTGCTCCATGTTTGGGGATTATTTCCACCAATAATGGGCCAGGACCACATGATAATACATCCTCGAATAAAAAGGAGTGTCTAAAACATCAAGTTAAATTGGCAGCTCTTTCTAGTTACAGAAAAAGGGTGTTCTTACAGTTTACCAGTATTTACCATGTCTTTGTACATATATCAACCCTTTTGGAGACTTGACACAACTCAGGATCTCTGGAGATAAACTGAGAACTATATTATTGATTTTCCCTTCCAGAACCCTAGAGATTAAGGATGAAAAAATGACTGACCTCATCCTCTGTAGGACTTGATGAATTGATGAAGTCAGTCATTGGCATGCTTTTTGATTTTGCATCACAGGTGTCCCTTGGAGAATACAAACGGAGACATTAGTAACGTATCGTGTTTTGATTCATTAATGATATCATTAGTCAGTGACTTGCATTGCAGTTGGTGGTCTGGCTTCAGCAACGTCATCATTCCCGGAGGAGGTCTAAAAAGCAAAATAGAAAATATTTCTTATCGTCTGTCACCATGTCAACCAAGCACTAATTAGTTTGGTCCCCAAACAAGATTTTTGTAAAGGCAATTAATCATATAGTCTCGTTAGTTATAATTTGTCTCAATAAAGTTATCATGCTTTTTGCTGTGACCCTGAGGTTTCTTCCCTTGTGTAACACGTCTGTTGTTCCTGTACGTTAGCATTTGACAGCCAGTAGGGAGCTAGTGACCATTGTCCGGTTTCTTAAAATGTAATGTGTATTTAGTTTCCTGATTGCCTTATATATGACCTGTGTGTCTTTGTACTCAAGATCAGATCCCAGTAGCACACGCTGGGACGGGGATCTGTCCTTTTAGCAGAAATTGATAGATTCCATTAAATGCTTTTAGGCTTTATCAAAAAACACAACTTAATTTTTGCTTCTATATTGGGTAATTTCTCAGCAGAAGGTGATTATGTTGTGGAATTTCCACATTACACAGAATGTGAAATGAGCTTTTCAGGCCATGATCGCTGCATGAATAAAAATGTATAAAGGGGATATTTATGCGCAATCGTGGGAGTTGTGTCTGGAGCCCAAATGGGTAGCACAGTTTTGAGTTGACTGTGATTTTTTTTAAGGGGAAGCCTATGTAAGAATTGCATAGGTAGATTATTTTTTGTGCGTAACCACTTGAGTTTCGTTCATTCGCAACCTTTCGACTTGAATCCTAGGTCGCGTTCACACCAGTCTTGTTTTATACAGTTGAATCGAATTAAAAATTAACCCCTTGGTGCGTTCGTTTGGGTTGGTGTGAACGCAGTCCGAGACCTCTGATGAGAACCAAACATCGGGCTCTAGTGAACTTTGGAGCGGTTCATCGCTGGTGTGAAGGCAGTCCACACCAAAACATGAAACCGATTCTTTAAAAAAAATGAAACAATGTAACAAACTCGTGCAGACTATTAGGTGTGAATGCAAGCCTACACAGTTTCATAAGTGAGGCCCAAGGTCAGCTACAATTTAAACCTTTTTTTTATACATTTTATAAGTAGACTCCAGTACAGTTTCATTTTTAAGAGCAACCTAGATCCTTTGAATATCATTATCCAATTTATATTATTAAGGACCTAGACTTATGCATTTTAAAGTGCTTTAATTGGTTGAGGAGACCTAGTGTGCATGTGTGTCACTTACCTCTGCTGCTTCCTCCTTAGCGTCCTTTGTTGATTTCCCAGGAACAGCTGGACACTCCTTATCACCGACCACAAGGCTAGAGCATCTATTGTTACACAAACAGGATTTTATGCATTTTAAGATTTCAACCTAACCACAAATTATGTTTGGGTGCGGTGTGGAGACTTACTGGGGAGAACCATGTGGATCTTGTCTGGTTGATTGCCCAGCTTTTATATTCACCCTGTCCTTCGGAACATTTTCATTTCGCACGGCTAAAACTTTAGTGGCCGTTTTCTGAGGAACTTTTGCAGCTCTTTCTGTCTGAAAGTCAGGAAAAAAAACAATATTAATTCCCAAAAGCTACATTTCGAAAAACGTATCAACAAAACAGGCACATCCGGACAATAAATGCGAGATGCTGGACATAAGAACAAAGATAAATAACGCACACAAGAAAATACTGCCATTAACATACATCAATAATAACTACTATCTCATGTATAGTGTCAAGCTCTTCATCAGAAAAAAATGTAAGGTTTGAAAGTAACTAATTAGATATATGTTCATGCGAAAATTATCTTATGC